CTAGTGCTCCAGGATCAGAAGAGATGACATGCCACACCCAATGGCTAGTTTAAGTGCGAGAAGGGAAAAAGAGGAGAAGGAGAAAGAAAGAAGACAGAGACAAAACAAGAGTCAAGAAAAGAAGGACACAGAGAGAGAGAGAATTCATAGGTTTATATGCTTTAGCCCTGTCAAATTGAGACAGTAATGCCAATAAACCTATGAGAGAAAGATGGAGAGTAGAGCTGGGCGATATGGCCAAAAATGTTATCACGATAAACAAAATTCATATTGTTCGATATCGATACATACCGCGATAAATGTCATCATTATTTCTTTCAAGTCTGAAGGCTGATTTTTGGTCCTGGGGGTTAACTGCTGTTTTAAACTATCCTTTATGGTCGGAACACAACAAACACTCACCAACCAGTGGAACATTTCACAGATCTGTCATGGGAGAGTGGGAGAAAGTGTCTGGTGAGCCGTTTTTACCAGCTGGAAAAGCATGGCTGTTTTGTAATAGTCATAATTTAAGAAAGAAAACAGATTATTTTTGCTGGTGACGAGCGCTCGGCTACCCCGCTACAAATGACATCACAGTATTCAGACACCAGAGAGCGAGGACTGGATTTCTCTATACTATCGTAGTAGTTTAAGTGGTGAACCGCAAAATATCAACACCAGACAAACAGAGTCCTCCTTTTAGGTACGTTTAAACTGAAAGCAGTTCTTTTGTGTCTTGTCTGATCTACAGTATCATCAATTCTCCGTGTTGTGGAGTGACGGAGCGCTGCTTCAAGTTAGCCAGCAGCTAAAAACAGCTAGCCTGGAAAGATAGCGCTCTCCCGCTCTCCAATGCCTCACAGCTTCCTCAGATTACTTTCGTTTAAATCAGGGCTGTAATTTACATGAACCCGCTTTTTTCTTTCACTTTCATTGCTTGGGAATGCACTCATACTAAATATGACTGTCCAAGCGCTGTAACAGCGCTGTAGTTGTGAGGATTGTGATTTATCGCTGCTAAAGCTTGTTAGGATGTAATGTAACAGAAAGAGGTGAGTTCGCTGTAGGACAGTATAGTTACACCACTGACCTCGTCACTCACACTCGGTCACAGGAGAACAGATCGCCGGTTGCTCCACTCAAACAGGGAATGTATAACTCTGTGTTTCAGCCGTTGCTAAAGACTCCTCTTACTCGTGGCCCCCTCCCTCTCTAATCATGTAGAAAAACTCGGACGTGCGCCCTCTCCTGGCGACAGCAGAGTAGTGTCGCTTTCCTTGCAGTAGAAAACGCCACCAAGGCTTTCGCTGAATGTGGAGGTGTGAGAGTGGTGTATTATATCGAACATTTATCGAACATGTCGTATCGCTCTATTGAGGAAAAATTATATCGCGATAATTATCGTTACCGTTTTATCGCCCAGCCCTAATGGAGAGAGAGAGAGAAACAGAGCAGAGCGAGAAAGACAAAGAACTAGAGAGAGAAAGTGAGCAAAAGAAAGAGAGACGGGGAGAAAGAAACAGAGGAAGGAGAAACAGAGATAGGTGGGGAGAGAGAAAAAGAAAGAAAGAAAGAAAGAAAGAAAGAAAGAAAGAAACGGAGAGAAGAAGGGAGAGAAGAAGGGAGAGAGAAAGAAAAGAAAGAGAAAGAAAATAAGCAGAAGAGAGAGACAGAAGAGAGAGACAGAGAGAGAAAATCAAAGAAAGAAAGAAACAAAGAAACAAAAAGAATGAGAGACTGACAATGGTTCCACATAGAACCACGAACACTCAAAGAACCATTTGCATGCCTGAATGTATGGTTCTTTGCATGGTGAAATGGTTCTTCAGATTGATGGAGAATGTGTTGTATATGGTTCTATATAGAGTCTTTTTTAAAAATGGTTCTACATAGCACCAAAAAGGGCCTACTGTCGTGAGGCAGACAAAACAGGGTTAGACTGAACTAAGATTAAAGTTACTTGGCTAAGCAAGAAATCCTGCTGTGTGAGACAGACCCCTGGTGTGCTCCTGTTTGAGTGGAAGGAAAACCAGACAGACCAGCCTTTTGTAGAAAGACTGGGTTATCATGAATGATGGAGTTAATGTGTCTAGAACTAATTTCCACAATTTGCTCAGAGGGTGTTACAGAAAGACATCACTAATGTGAGAAATAACACCAAATTCACCAACTTCTCACTCAGAAACAGAGTCAGCTCCTCAGCAGGTATTTAGCCAGGCATTTCTGAGACATCTGCTGCAGGAGACTCTGATTTATTTACTTTGGATAACTGAAGTGTTACATAAACGTAGAGGTGACAGATGAGAGAGAGAGAGAGAGAGAGAGAGAGAGTGGGAGATAGAAAAACAGAGACAGAAAGAGACAGATGGAAAAAGAGAGAAACAGAAAGAAAGAGAGAGCGAAACAGAAAGAGAGTGAAACAGAGAATCAGAGAAAAAGACAGAAAGACAGAGAGAAAGAGAAAGAGAATGAGAAAGAAAGAGAAAGAGAAAGAGAGGGTAGTTGTGGGTCTATGCCTATGTGTGTGTGTGGTGTGAGTGAGTGTGAGAGTGTGTGTAAGTGAGTGTCTGTGTGAGTTAGTGTGTGTGTGTGTGTGTGTGAGTGTGTGTGTGTGTGTGAGTGTGTGTGTAAATGTGTGTGAGTGTGAGTGAGTGTGTGAGTGAGTGAGTGTGAGAGTGTGTGTAAGTGAGTGTGTGTGTGAGTTAGTGTGTGTGTGAGTGTGAGAGTGTGTGTGTATGTGAGTGTGTGTGTAAATGTGTGTGAGTGTGAGTGAGTGTGTGAGTGAGTGAGTGTGAGAGTGTGTGTGAGTGAGTGAGTGTGTGTGTGAATGTGTGTGAGTGTGTGTGTGTGTGTGAGAGTGTGTGTGAGTGAGTGTGTGAGCGTGTGTGAAGTAATGATGTATTATAGATGACGTTTCTCTGCTGCGACTCTCAGCCCAGACGAGCCAGCACTCTCTCAGTGGTTTAAGATTACGCAACACAAACGTTTTACAAAACTCTGCTCATCTCCTTCGTGTCCATCTATCTGTGTCTGTATGTTTTTTTGCAATAATTTGTCCAGCCCAACTCCCATCACTCACTCTCACTCTCTCTTTCTCTCTCTCTCTCACACACACACACCATCTGGTACCCCAGATCTCTGCATTAAAGTTGCTTGGCTACACTCAGATCTCACTCCGTCTGCCTCTTTCTCGTGGTGGCTGATGATGGGATCTAAATTTGTTGGATTTGTTGCTGTAACAAAACAGAATTGGGACTAAAGTGTTAAAATAGCACTTTGAAATAGTGCTGCTCCAACACACCAGATTCAGCCTGTTAAAGGCTTTAGGTTTGCTCATCTAAAGGCAGTAAAGAGCTGCTCTACAATCTCTGAACTCAGTATAAATAATAGATAAGAAGGAATAACAGGTACTAGAACATTTCCTTGCAAATCATGATGAAATCAGTACATTTGTTGTATATTCTTCTTTTCCCGAGGTCCGCTTATGACATTTGTGTGAGCTTATGTCCCAAAAAAGGGTTGTAATTTACTTTTACAATTTCACTTTGCAATCTCTCTTTAGCTTTTAGAATCTGTTTTTGTTACTGCACCTTAAAGACTGATAGTTAAATAAGCTCCATTCTGACTGGTTAAACTGTATTATGCACTCAGTCAAAAGCAGTCCAGGCTTAAACACTCCTTATTACTTCACTGTGTATGAATGGGGCTAAACTGCTATAGTCTGAATAGGTGGATATATGTAAATGCACTGATTTCATGACATCATAAAAACAATTAATTTAAAACAGGCTGTTTTTTTTAGCTTAGTTTCCATATATACTGCACGGACTGAGGAATGAATGATGTTTCAAAAACTTTAACAATGTTTACATACCACATCAAACTTAAATTCAAAAATCAGTTTTCCATGATGTAGCCTTAACATACAAGGATAGTCTGAATAGCAAGTGTTCTTCAGTATATCTGTCTCTTTCTCTTTCTCTCTCTCTCTCTCTCTCTCTCTCTTTGGTGAAAAAGTTCTAATTAACAGGACAAAGTGCAAGGCCTCATCATCTCCTCTAATTAAAATCCACTGAGACACTGCAAAGATCTCTCACAGTCACCTGATTTATTATAGGCTGTAAGATCTCTTCCAGAATTACTGGAATAGTCATTCCATTTATATGGATGGGAGGGGTCTGGCATACAGGATGTTGGGCTGTGGAAACTGGACTAAAACAAAAACACCAGGCTGAGAGGTCAAGAAAGCACAGCAGCAAATTCAGTGAGCAGAACTCAAAGACAAAATGACCACAGATGACCCTTTCTATGTTTCTATGCTTCAATAGTGTGTTTCAGTCCATTTTGAAAGTGATTTCTCTGACCAGTCAGAAGAACCAGGCAGTGTGAAAAAGAGAGTGGCCATGAAATGAAAACCGAGAAGGACTGAACTGAACCAAGCAGTTATGTTGTTTTCCTTAGATGTGATGGAAGTGAAAGACTTGAAAGGTTAGAAATGACAGTGGCAGCCGGAGGATTGTTTGGAGAAGAGGGTAGGTGTGAAGGGTTTGTAAAAGGCAGCAGAAGGGGTGAGACTGCACAGTGAATTTGGGTTGGGGGGAGGCTAGACTTGGCTTACTGTGACCTAAATATGTCATTTTTACTGCGTCACACTTAAATGATTCTGAAGCACCAGAGACTATAAGAGATAGGCTATGAGTTATTGTTTGAGCTTTTCTATGCGCTTATGTACGTTTACCAATATAGACTATACTATCACACAAGGGCATCATGCGTTGACATAGAGCTTCGGGTTTCAGTTATAACAGCTGTTTCAGCTCATTCTCAGAATAGTTGCCTCCTACATTCTAACACTAACATGCACACAAACACCAGAACACCAAAACAGTGTGAATGCATGTATAGTAATACTATCCCATCACATTCTTCATTGAACATGGAAAGGAACCGCTGACAAACGGTAAAACAGCAACATTACACATCCAATAGTGAATTTAAAGCTGGAGCAGCATACACACCAAACAGCCTTCGATGGAAGAAAAACTTCCCAGCAACGAGCCCTGTGAAGATCGCCAGAATCCACATCAAAACCTTCAGGACGTTCCATCCTCCGCCTGGGTATTTATTCACTATGAAGGAGAAGCAGTTCCCCACCACTATCATGTGTGCCTCCGTCTGACTGTGGGACACAGGGTCCTCAGCAAAGATGAGGAAGTTGAAGAAGGTCACTAGGTAGGCCACAACCAGTCGGGACCATGGGTGCTGAAAGTAGTAACGGAAGCGGGCATCTATCTCCATTCTGCCAAGCCTCGCCTTCCACCGGCCACCTGACAGAGAAAGAGAGAGAGAGCAGGAGCAGTGAGTATTCAAATCTTACTTGCCACTTTGGGACAGAGATTATCAATAATTAGAGACAGGAGCAGATTTTCCAGATTGAGATTACACAACAACACAACAGTCATACATTTTGGCAGCAGAGTGAAACACATGGCAGGGGTGCATCCAGATTGAGATTACAATCTATCATCAGACATATTATCCCAGACAATGTCATGGCTGAGACTGGTGAGCAAATGCTGTACAGATGAGTAATTACTTAAATGTCCTAAACAAACCTTAACTAAATACAGGCTAGGCACTCAGTTAGGACCACTCACGTGCTCCAAGCAAATGATGTCCTCAGAGGTGGCGATACAGTAAAAATATAACATCACAATACTTCACGACATTATTTGAATAACAATATATATACTGTGGAGTCTGCCACTTGCTCTGTGCTTCAGAACGGGCTTTAGGGGTGGGGTATGCAAAGCTGTGCCATGTGCGTCGCCCTCGGTTAAAGGACATTTTTTGTTGTTGTTGTTACTGTTGGTTTGAGATGCGTTTATGTGTTGACTGTGCTTTATTGTGTTGGGCTTTGGGTTAGTTAGTGTGTATCTGCATGTCTACCATATAGAGAATGTTCCCTGCTATTCCGACAGTTTTTCTGTGAAAGAGCATTTCCTTGAGCAGAAATAATGGGATCCTCTGGCTCTTCTTCACTACTGACACCACAATATCATGTTTTTTGTGAGGTTTAATAAGCTGTAACAGATTCAAAATCACTAGTAACACCACACTTAAAAAGTAGAACTAATTGTTTTGGTATTGGTCAGTTTGTTAAGTACTGACAATATCACAATATGCTCAGAAAAGCATATCTTATAATTCTTATGATAATATAATTCTTTAACATCATGAGCCGGAAGAAACTCAGAAATACTCAGTTTCAGAACAGAACAACACTAGCAGAGGCAGAGCAGAACACTCCTCCATTTAAGAGCTTTAAACACTGAGATATTCATGAAAATAAGGCCAGAAAACAGCTGGCTCACACAAAACAGCTTTAGCAAGTCCAAGCTGGAGTTGAACATGTCTTGTTAAATCCAGGCTGGCTGGCCCCCTGAGAGACCACCAGCATGCCCAACACACCCCCTGCTCCAGCAGCTTCTCAAAATACCCAGCGCGGAGACGGGAGGTGATGTAAGAGGCTGGGAATAGCGCTGGGCTGCTGCTGGGAAATGCTGGGCACTGTTGTGGCATTTTGCTTGCATGTGTGTAACGCAGCCAAAGGTGGTGTTTACAGCAGGACCACAACAGAACCGCTACTGTCTCGCCTACAGCTCCAGCCACACAACCACATACGCACATTTCACCCAAGAAAACAAGCAGAACACAGAACTTAGTGTCACCACTGCATCCATACTGAGCATTAATAAGTGATACTGATCTCAAGAGCTGCTCCAACTCTGTAAGAGCACACGAACTGTGGGTCCTTCTGGAAAAGCAAACCAGCTTCATTCATTCATTCCAGCACTTTCTGCTGCTTATCTGCTTCAGTCCTGTACACAGACTACTGTGATAAAGCAAACCCACTTTCTCACTCTACTCATTCATTCTAGTCTAGAGCAGTGTTTTCTGTGAAGAGGCAAAAGAGCTTGAAGAACAGCTCATGCTCTTACGAAGGCAGTCGTGCAGCATGTCCGAGCCCATCACATCGCCACAGCGGGGAAGAAGGGTAGGTTAGCTTAGCTCCCCCCTGCCCGCACGCCGCTCTCTTCACCCGGCTCCGCTCACAGACCACCACCGCCGCCGCTCCACACAGCAAAGTCCCCCACACACACACTCACAGAGCTGGGACACCTAATGTCGAGCAGTCGGCAAACACGCGAATTAATTCCGTTTTCACTACGGAGACTGTGATGTACACATGAACGTGGAGAGAGAGACAGATAGACGCTGAGCCCGCCCCTCACCTCTCACACCAACCGCCCCCCTTAAACGGACACACACCCCCCCAGACGGAGACACAGTGGTGTACCTGCTCCAGGCTGGTGAGATGTCCCCTCAGACTGTCCCGTGTTCAGCCTCTGCTCGGCTTCATGGAGAGCTGAGGGGAGGAGGACTGTGAGCTGAACCTGCTGTTGCTAAGACAGACAGACAGACGCGTTCCCTCATCATCCTCTTTGTTTTGGTTCGCGGCGGCGAGGAGGAGGAGGAGGCGCTGCTTCTGGATGTAGCAGCGGAGCTAAAAGCTAACAGCAGCAACAGCCTCATACCATCAACTCAGCGGGCTGGAACAATAACACCTCACACTCACTCACACGGACAGAGATTATCAGAAGCAGAGGGAGCCGCCTCTCTCAGGGGACACATTTACATAACGTTACAGCCAATACACAGGGCGGGATCATGAACTAAGCCTGAGAGGACATGGCAGATGTGTTTGCTTTACCAGGCTAATGCCGGATGCTGGCTCAAAGGGGAATTCCACCGATTTTGCAAAATTTCTTCAGTGGTTGATTCAGGGGTTGAGATGTAAACAATGTCATTCAGAGTGTTTTGGTGTGAAATGGTTCATTTATAGAGAAACTTACAGACTCTGTTACAGTGGTTGTGATAGGAACCAGGAGTCACAATGTCTACGAGGCAAATATAGCAACCATCCAAAACCACCACTGAACCTACACGTGTATTTTGAGTTCATACCAAAACCTCGTATCTCCCAAATGATAACTTTACAGGAGAAGGAAAAAAACCTTCTTTATTTTCAGTGTAAGTCAAAGGAATGAGACGTATTCATCATGAAATTTATAGACAAAGTAAAGGGTAACAGACATTTTCAAATTATGTCAAGAACTGAAAAATAGCAAAAATGGAGATAGGAGGTTTTGTCCCGACAGCAGCGATATGTAATGTTGATGATGATAAAATAGTGGTAAATCTGAAAAAAAAAAATGTTTTCTCTGGGGACTGTTTTGCCTTAGAAGAAGAATAATGAATAGATTAAAATACATTTTAGACCAAAATTTGTACACAAAACTACTGTCAATGTCTCAGACATCAGCCTGAGTGTTCATAACCATTTCATATAATAGCTTTCTGTGAGGGAACATTTAGAGGCATTAAACACTTTAGATGTCTGGTTCCTATCCTCACCACTGTGAACAATTTGGACTCTGTAAGTTTCTCTGGAATGAAGCATTTCACACTAAACCACTCTGAATGACTTTGTTTACATCTTAACCATTTAATTATGTAGAAAATTTGACAAATCGGTGGAGTTCCCCTTTAGGTCAAGCACTGAGGGAAATATCTGTTTGCTACCATAAAAAATATAATACTGGCCTGTTTCAATTTTCTCTTAACCAGTAACAGTACCTCCTATTGGACATACCAGTAGCACCAAAACTTAACCCCCAGGATGATATTCTACGCAGCAATTTAGTGAATATGGCACACATTGATGACCAGAGGGATAAAATGTGAATACTGGCAGGTAGAGAGACAGCAGTACTGTACAGTGATATGAACTACTGCTGTCTTACACTTCTCCTATAAATTGAAATATTGCTGTATCTATTCCCTGTATCTCTGCCACTCTAACAGGTGCCATGCCATAAAACTGAACTTAAATGTAAACAAAGGGAACATGGGTTGACACACTAGATATGCAATAGCAAATCTTATGTTGAAGCACATGGCACAGCATCACGATCACTCATATGAAATTGTACCATTTTTCTACATATTTGAATTGCAAAAATATTTTGTTTTCTGCACAAATTGCTGCAGAGTTGATGAGCTCTGTTTGTCCCCATGTATCAAATGTACAAAACATTTAAAAAGGTGATAGAAAAAGAACTCTTTGCATGCTGTTCTGCTTTGTAATGAAATGAGATCACTTCCTCAGAAATATGTGACTCAAGGCAAGAGAAAACAACTTCCTGCAGTCTTTCCTCCTTCTCATAACAGGGTTGATGGTAAATTGAGAGCAGAATGTTATTAAAATGTAATACTTTTGCACAATTTATGCCTCTGAATATGATTTTAAAATTTACATGTAAAACATAAGCTTGCATATTTTATCAATGTAGTTAAATTAAAGACAAAAATGTGTGATTTCTTTTTTCACATTTACGAAGCCCCGGGCAGTTCCATTTTGAAAATATTTGTAACATTTGGGAAAAAAAAAAAATATTGGCAAAACAAGCAGACATAGAATATGTGTCTGTTATGCTGTATTTGTAAACTGTTTTATTCATGTGAATGTCAAAGTTGCAGAGAAATGCTGTAATGATCCATTTATTAATGTACAATTTAAGAAAATAATACTTAGTATGTAGAATTGTTTTCTACTGTTGTTCTACTGTTGTACTGTTTCTTTCTCTCTTTTTATCTCAGTAAAAACTTCAAACAGCATTTCAGCCGAAAAACTAATCCGTATTGTAAACGTTATCGACAAGTCCAGCGGGATTTTCTTCTACATCGCAGCACGTTTCCGCCGAAACCTGTTTCCCATTGCGCATGCGCAATTGTTGGAAGGCGTCGCTGGACCAGGCTGGTGACGTAACAGGCCGGAGCCAGTGGCGTCGCTGCTCTCCGCTTCCTTCTTCCTGACTCTGCTCGCCGTCTCAGACGAACCGCTCCGACCCGAAAATGTCTCACCAGACGGGGATTCAAGGTAAGCCTTCTTTTATTTCAGCACCCTGCACGCCCTCATGTGTCATACTGTCCCTCCGGCGAGGAGCGCCTTGCGGTTGTGAGGCTGGTCTGTGCGGAGGGTGGTCGCTGTCTGGGGGCTGCAGGCTCCGCTCAGTACGAGCAGAAAGAGCCGCCGCCTGTAGTAACAACCTGCTCTCCTTTATAACTCTACACCAGCCAGCCGCCCTCCACACCGCCTCTGGGTGGTAGCTGGGTCTGAGGTGGGCTGGCCTGCTCCACTCGCCTCGCTCCTCCCGAGGTCTCGTGTCTGAAAGCGGAGAGTTCGTGTTTCGTGCGCGGTGATTTTGAGATGTAGAAGCGGGCAACGCCTTCACTCCTCCAGCTGCTCCATTTCCACACAGAGCCGCATAGCTCAGGACGCAGCCAGGGGCTCTGACACACAGCCGCTGACGAGCCAGGCAGCCGCTCGGGTCTGAATAAGCTGCACTTACTGAAAAATTAACGGCAGTGATACCTTTAGCTTAGTAACAGCAGAGTGTGATTAAATGAAGACAGACTGTAAACCAGGTGTTCTAACAGTTTGTCCTACCCGTCGAGTGCTCCTACTGAGCATGCGCACATCGCTAATGTAGCATAGTGGCTTTAGTGTTTTAAATGTTTCATTGCGTTTTTAATGTTAATGCAGTGCAGACTCAATATTGCAATGCAGGCTTAATATTGCAGCTTAACGCCCTGATGGGGTGATTTAGGCCATGAAAATATAGTAATTATTCTTTTAACGATGGTAACATTTTCTGATAATGAGATTTATTTCAAAATTTCTATATTTCTGTCAAAATATCCTGCCTGTACATTTCATTGCTCATAGCATTTTGTGAAAGGATGATTCAGGCTATCAGTCTGTCCCACCTCTAGAATCATTTCCTGACATGGTGACTTAGGCAATCAGTATATCATACCAAAAGCTTATATAGAGCACTGTCTATAAATATGCACTTAGTTTGTGTACTGCTATCACTGTGCTCTTTACTAGGGAAGTTGTGGTTTCTTGTTTTATCTTTTCTGTCTTAATGATTCATTGAGTGACTGTGGCAGTTTGTTGTTACTAGCCTAAATATGCAGTTATGTAGAAATCAAAGTAGTAACTAAACTTTTCAAACAAGTAAAAGTCTGTTGACTGACCTGCTTCCATTTTACTGCATTAGAAACATAGTAAGTGGGGCAGGCTTGGCTGGCTATCTGTTGTTATTCCAGACTCTGCTCCTGCCTTCATTTTATACAGATGTGGAATTCGGCAAAGAGCTGACACAGCACATGCTGTAGAGGAAAAATCCAAAAACAGGAGAAATATGTTCAGTTGTCAGTGTTCAAACTTATACTAATCGTCCAATTCTGTACCTTCTTGTCTTTAAGCTGCTGGGGAGGTGAAGGACATATTTGCCAGTGCCAGAAATGGAGACTACAGAGTTCTGAAGATCGTGATTGAAGACGGTAAGGACACCTCAGGGGCACATGCTATGTATAGTGACATCCCAACACTGCGCTCTGGCCTACAGTGCGAAACACTCACATAGCAATGAGTCATAAGATCAAAACTTCCTTGTCTGCTGTCTGCACTTCTGAAATGCCTTGTTGAACATGCAGACATATGCAGTGCCTAATTTGGTTGGCTTGAAAGCATCACAACATCAAAAGCTTATCATTTTTTTCTGTTTTATAGAAAAGCTAGTACTTGGTGACACCAAGCGGGCATCTCGGGGTTGGGAGGAAGACTATAACACTCTTGTCCTTCCTCTGCTGGAGAACGACTTGCCATGCTACATCTTGTATAGGCTGGACTCCACCAATAGCTTTGGACATGAGTGGGTGTTTATCGCCTGGTCGCCAGACCACTCTCCGGTAAGATGTTTTTGTTTTGTTTTGGAGAGATTGTGATGAGTTAAATGGGTGGTAAAAATGTTTTTTGGGTGGAGTTAGTTGACTTTAGGTTGAGGTTATTCATGTATCTGCTTTTTAAAGAATGATTGCAACTAGTTGTTCTCTTGGATCATGTTTGCTGACTATTATTGTATGATTTGAGCTCTGATGTGGTGTTGTCAGTATCTAGTCCGCGTTGTGACCCTGTCAGGAACTCTAGGTCTAAGCTGGTGTTCCCTATGTGAAAAATGAGTGGCATTTTCAGAAATCATGCCCTGTGGTAAACAAATGTTGCCATACATACAGTTGTCTTCTGAACAGTGCCAGATCTTTGGAGTTATGAGGTCATTCAGAAGCCGAAATATGACTGTTGCCATGAGCAAGCTAACACTGCTGCATGCTGAATTTACATCATTAGCCTGGTAAACACTAAAATACCCCACACAAATTAGCAAGCTTTGGCAAGTGTTGGTAGTTTAGAGGCATCTGCAGTTTTAGGCTACAGTTTTGAGTAGCTGGTGTTGATATATAATAGTGTTAAGGTTTAATAATAGACTTAATTTCATGCTGTGTCATTTCAGTGTGCAAGAGTGTTAGTTAGCTC